ATCCCAGGTACCTACTGGCCAAATATCATGACCCTAGGTCCTCCAGTTCTTCAGAAGAAGTTGTTTAAAAGAAAAAATTGACGGCCGGACGCTGGAGTACGGCATGAGCTCACATGGCCCTTCGGGCCAGGAGAGCTAAAAATAGTGCTAACTAACGTTAATTCTGAAAATTTAATACTGTCAGCCATTTCTTTTTTTATCAGTCCTTAAATTTGACATGCCTAACTAGGAACCATGGGGAACCCCCATATGAAATTTGGGAATGATCCCTGAAGTACTTTCTGAGCTCACAAGAATTGTTTAAGGACAGACGGAATGAAGGAGGACGGACCACGGACGAAGAGTGATTTGAATAGCTTACCATCTGATGATGGTCCGCTAGAAAGTGGATTTGATAAATTTGACATGTCTAACTAGGAACCATGGGGAACCCTCATATGAAATTTGGGAATGATCCCTGAAGTACTTTCTGAGCTCACAAGAATTGTTTAAGGACAGACGGAATGAAGGAGGACGGACCACGGACGAAGAGTGATTTGAATAGCTTACCATCTGATGATGGTCCGCTAGAAAGTGGATTTGATAAGGGTGTAAGGACAACAGTTTTCTATGTTAAATTACATTAATTTTAAACTTTAAGGCAAGAAGAGGACTGAAATGATCAGCTTTGAGAAAAAGCAATGGCGTTCAGCATTATAATTTGTAAATCAAATATCTACACATTCAGAACTAAGCCTTTACCTTTAAAATATGCCAATTACCATTCTTTTTACTTTAATAGTGCTTTTAATTGTAAAGTAACATGTTGCCAGACATTGTCACGGTGTCCAACACTTTGTGCTAACATTACAAACATGACAGAGAGCATGTTTTGTGATTATGCCACTTCTTTTTATCCTCAGAAATTCTGCTAACCTAGGGAGATACACTGCATGCGATATGTTGAAGCTGAGGCCAATGACTTCATGCAATGACTAAAAATGTTTAACAAACTATAGCATCAAGAAAATAAATGCAACAATAAGAAATATTCCAACAAAATCTATATTATGAATTTGTTTCATAGTACTAATTTCTATTGAAAAAGACACTGAGATCAAATCACAAGTCTGCTGACATCAGTTAAATAATCTGGAACTTCAATATCGGAAGAGATCTTGCATTAGAATCTTATCAGATGATGGTCACATAACTGCTCCTTGAGAGCTCTCATTAATTATTGCTCAAAATTGTAGAACCATGTTAAACTTCGAGGAAACAGCCATGGGAAAATGGTTCACCTATCGATCATTAAAAAATGTAAGGCATTTCCATAATTTTATGTGAAAATCTGCAAGATGTTGCCTCAGAGATCTAGCATGTATAGTTAACAGGTAGCATGTATAGCTAAAAGGTAGCATGTATAGTTAACAGGTAACATGTATAGTTAACAGGTAGCATGTATAGTTAACAGGTAGCATGTATAGTTAACAGGCGTCTTTCAGTGTAGGAGGACTTCAGATAGTAAAGATCTGTGGGTGGTTTTTTTCTGATAACAGCAATAGGCCATTTTTGTTTATTGTGTGTTTCAAACAGTTTGGCCTGCAGCTTTGAAATGATTCACCTATAAAATGTTACATTAAGTGAACTGGTCTGTCCACACTATTGATCCCTAACAGATTAATAGAGACATGTACAAGTATGAAATAAACCATCAAATGATAGACAGTATGCAGTATGGTGAGGGACAAAAATACACTTACCATCAAAAGGGTATGCCTTGCAGTATGACGAGTTACAAAAATATACCAACCATCAAAAGGGTTTGCTTTGCAGTATGGCGAGTTACAAAAATATATATTAACCATGAAAAGGATGTGCCTTGCAGTATGGCGAATTACAAAAATATACCTACCATCAAAATGGTGTGCCTTGCAGTATGGCGAGTTACAAAAATATACTTACCATCAAAACGATGTGCCTTGAAGTATGGCGAGTTATAAAAATATACCAACCATCAAAATGGTGTGCCTTGCAGTATGGTGTGTTACAACAAGATGCCCAATGGGCCTGAATCGCTCACCTGGTATTGATCTCACAATTGTAACCTTAAAAAGGGACTAAAATAAAGCCACAGGCAAAATATCAGGGTCTTGACTTAAAGTTTTAAGTAATTCAGAAAAAATTGGCAAAGGTCATTCATTTGAACAAACTTGGTAGCCCTTCATCCCAGCATGCTACTGGCCAAATATCAAACCTTAAGACCTTTCCATCTATGAAGAGTGCTTGATTCTACCATATCTGGGTCTTTAAGAAGATTTTTGAAATTTCAGTTAATTCAACCCTTTTTGGCCCCACCCATCAGCCACTGGGGGTCAGTCAGGGCTGATATGCGCATACTATCAAACTGCTATCCAATACTGATAATGCTAACCTAAATTGAATTACCTCCAATGGCAATTAAACAAATGTTGGTCCAAAATGTGATTTCCCTATATAAACTATAGTAAAGTTTACCCCCTCCCCAGGGGGAAACGTGAGACCCCAGAGTCAAGAAATTCACAATTTTGGTAAAGCACCTTAAGACCCTTCAATCTATGAAGAGTATTTGATTCTACCATATCTGGGTCTTGAGAAGAAGATTTTTGAAATTTTAGTCAAT